TGTAAGTGCTCTTAGTCTCACTAACTTTCTGCCAGATGTCTTGCATGTTGCTACGCTCAGCCTTGGTGACATAGCCACTGACATAGTGAGTAAGAGCTAGAGAGGCTTCGGCTGCAAACTGAATGTCTATATTAGCCTTCCACCGCATCAATAACAGTGGGCTGTAGCCATTCACCCTTGTTTCAGGCAGAGTACGGACCAACTGGTAAATTCGGTTATGGCTCTCCTGGACTGGGTAGAGCTGAGCAGTCTCACACACTGGCCTGGGAAACCCGAACCTACACCTGGTGATGAATGCTGTCTTCCCACACCTTTTCCACCTCTTACAGGTCTTGCTGCACTTGTGCATCTGGTACCTGGTGACTAGTCTGTGCAGCTCAGGGCTACCCTGTTCATCAGGGATGTGGCAGGTGATTCTATCCTGATCCAGTCTAGCACCTTCTTCGGGATTGTCTCTATCAATGAGTGGTGCATCTCTAATCCAGAGTAGGACATGGTAATGAGGAGCCCCACGATTCTGATACTCCTTCTTCCAATAAAAGTGGTCTACAATACACAGGACATGACCTTTCAAAATGACCTTCGGAAAAAGGCATTGAATTTGAGGAAAATTCCTGGGAAACTGAGATTGGTCTCAAACACACAGCGCTCTTCTGGAGGAACATTGTTCACATCTAAGAAACCTCAGGGATAGCGGGGACTCATACTCAGCACAGCCAAGGTGAGGAAAAGGTAGCGAGTCCCACTCTCTTTCACTGCACTTGAGTCGCACTGTGTCTCGAGGAACGAAACTGTTCGGAGTGGTTCCCTTTACGGACTGACTGGAGCTTGGGGCACAATAACGTGCTCTAGCTGCTCGTAACTGCGGTGTCACTCTGCTCTAGAACATGTTAAGCAGACTATGGACTGTCGCCTGCGTACTGCTTTAACAAATTGTAAACACCTGATGCGGAGTTAGTCGCATGTTCCTTCTGCCGTACAAAAGATAAAACTACTGTGTCATCTCTTCCGGAAACGCGATTCCTTGTTAGAAGCCTAGATTTGCACGTACTCACACTAGGGGATATCTGCTCTTTACTCATGGGTGACTCTCCATTTGGCTTTTCCCCATTGTGTTGCAAGCCCCCATAAAGTGTTTTTTGCTAGTCAATGAAACACTAATTTATTTGGGATCTTGAAATGCTTCGTTTTTTCTGACAGCACCGGCTGTAGGGAACTTCGTTGAAATCTGTTGGGGAGTGTGGTCTGCGGTGTGTGTTGGGGGGTGGTAGCCGGTACTCAACGGGGGAGGCCATGGATAGCGATGGGAGGTGAAAAATTCACGTGGGCTCTTGTCGCATTATTTGTATGTGAGTGCAAGGCATCTTACGATCATTGGCTTGAACAGATGGGTTCTCGTGTTCTCTCGTAAGCTGTTTGCGAGGTTAGGGCATTCTTTTAGGGGGGGGGCTCCCCTACCTTTGCCCATTTTTCTGTTCTTCCTTTTCTTCCACCTTTCTCTTCTCTTTTGCTGCCTTCGTTTTTGTAATAGGTCCTCACTCTTTCCTCTTGGGATGATCCATTATTCCCTGTACTCTCTAAAAGTCTTTGTGAACAATGAGAGCTTGCTATCCAGTTTCTATGGTGTAGGCCGAACCCATCTACCTCATCTGGGGAAACCTTTTTCAACATTTCTGTGGTTGCATTGTTAGAGACCTCAATGATGTGTTTAGTGCTCTCATCAATGCATTTCTCACTGACATCTCTGCAGAGCCAGTTACAGGACCTCAACTTTGTTATTGCAGTCTTAACATGGTTCACATCCACCAAACTACGCCACACAACATTACTCTTGGTTGGCCTACCATTGACAATAATGTACAACTCTGGGTCTGGTAAGAGAGAGGTATGCTGTTGAACCTTGTTTAAGGTTTCTATGGTCTTGTTTAGTGGCAATGGGAGGAAAAACATTGTGCCTTTGCAGACCTGCAGGGAATTGTATCTGGGCACTTTACCAGTGTAAGTACCTAGTCTCACAACAGTCTGGTAGCACTTTGCCCTCTGAATAAGCTGTCTACTAAGAAGGTCTAATGCTGCTAGTTCTGGGGGAATAGGAACAGTCTGCAGACCATTGAGGACACAACGTGCAGGTATTATCCCAGCTCTCACCCAGTAATAGCACATGTACAACACTTGACCTGAAACAGTTGGAGGATACTTCAAAATATGGGCCCTCAATTCAAGCCATATCTCAGAGTTAAAGTCATCAGAGAGACTAACAACAGGCACTGACTTTCTCCGATGCAGACGCTCACAGCAAATGCATGCATGTTCTGGGAAGTCATCAATTTCCTTCTCAAACCCAGCAATCAGTGCTGCATGCGCAATGGCTAGTTCCATCTCTAGATTAGGTCTCCTAAGAGCTGAGCATTGAACAGGAATGAGTTTTTGATAGTTCTGCTCTACATTACAACTCAGGAGGGACTCAACCTGTGTGATTTGTAGCAATCTCTGGTGGTTACCGTTCTTCAACGCGTTGTCAATATCGTACACAATCCTGTGAGCACTCAGAGCAGAAGTAACATGGGCCAAAAACCTCCTCAAAACAGGGAAATGAGTGGAAGCTGTTCTGAGTATTCTCAGGTTACTAGTATATACAGTAGTATCAAGAGTAACAAAAATGGGGTGTCCTCCATGCGCAATACTCTCCACTTTGGTGTAGTGCCCATAGGGGCACCCCATATCACATTTAGCCAGAGCCTGCCTCACTTTCTCAACAGGCTGCTCAAAAGCTCCTAAAACAAACAATGGCATTGACCTCAAATTCACTTAGTGGTTTGCACTGCTTTGAGCACTCCCACATCTTAGACTGGGCAGGTCCCTTGTCAGAAACTTTCGCACAACCCGCACAACCCACACTCCAAGCCCGAGAAAGGCTACATTTGGATGCTGTATCTTTACCTTCTTCATTCTTACTTCCAGCATCCATAGACACTTCTTTAGCAACAATGCCCTCCCCCTTCTCTTTGACAGGGATTGGGGACTCTCTAACATGCAGGTAAGTAAAAGCTCCGTCACAGTAGTGTGGCAGCCTTTTCCAAGGTCAATGTGTTCTTTAAGTGTAATAGACTTAATCAGCTTAATGCTGGCCAGCAAAAACCCTGCATGTTTCCTGCGTAAGGCTTTGCAAACCAGCTTTTAACTGCCAGTCTACCCACTGTCTGTTCCAACTCTGCTCTACTCAGTGTATCTGCTACACCGGCATGCAGGGACTTGAACTCTTCTTTTGAGTCTGTTAAACACTTCACCGTCAGCTAGCAGGTTGGCGTTAACACTCCTATAACACCTTTCAATTGCCAGTTGGTTAGGCTGCGCCAAAGTGTATCTAGCCTTCTTTACTCTCTCTCTTTTGGCATAGCAGTGATACTTCCTGAAATATCTTAGCCTGGTGCTATGGTGTGAGGCATGATACTCCTGAAACAATGCCTTCATTCTTTCAGGGTTAGCTTTATACGCTGCCTGGGTAGCTGCACGCTTTTTTGAAGGTTTTGCATCATAGCGGGCTTTTGCAGCAGCTTTTCGTTTTTCTGCATTTTCTTTATATGCAGCCCTATCAGTCAAATTTTTCTTCAAAGGGTGCAAATTATACAAGGCCCTAGATGCTGCCTTTTTCTTATCAGAAACAAGGACAGAGTTAAAAAACTGAGCGTAACCAGAATCGGCAGAAACGGGCGAAACTCGGCCAGACGGAGCTCAACGGACGAGAGCGAGCGGAGCCGCAACCACGCGGTCTTTTATCCCGCGTCGCGCGCAAGGCGCCGGGAGTGGGTGGGGTCTGAATCGACCGTGAAAATGGCGTCGTTTTCTGTGAGCAATACTGTACGCTAGATCTTCCGTACCGATTGGCAGCAAGAAAACGAACATCGCTTGACGACGATGCACACCTCCACCATAGCGGGGTACGTTTAATGGGAAAATCAGCGCTTGAACTTGTTCCGGTAAGGAGAAATCGGGTCTAAAGAAGAGGAAGAAGATAAAGAATGATGACACGAAAATTGCGAAATCGCGTATGAGCGGTTGCTCGTGTCGAGATTGCAGGGACGTATAGGCATAATGTATAGGTAGATATGGACCCGTGAGTGATTTTTGGTGTGTTTTGAAGGCATAGCTAGCCATCCTCGCCGAGTTTCGAGGAGTTTTGTACGCGGATCACGTGAGATATCACTCGTGCCATCCCTATACATAGAGCGTCTACCGACGCTCTGACACCGAAAATCAATTCCAAATTTTCACACACGCTGCCTCACACGAAATGCGCCGATCGATCTAGCCAGCGAGAGAACTCTCCTCCATTCGACGGCATGCGCTGCAATCTTCAGTGACTGACCAAGGCTGTACCTCTTCTAAATCTTCATGGTTCGAAGGTGCAACTGGAAAGGATTGCTCATGCAAATACTGCTGCATTCAAGCTGCCTAGTGGACCACGACTTATGCTAAAAGAATAAAAGGTAAGTACCGTTCTGCTCACCTGCTCACCGTTCGGTTTAGGTGTTCTGCCGCAGTTGTTATATAGGTGGCACTTAACAAGATCTCACAACTCTGAAAGTCTTGTGAGTTTGGTTTCTGCACCTTGGAGATTAACAGACTGGGCCACTTACAGAATAGAGCCATGAAGCAAGTTACAGGATTTGTGTCGTACATAAGGGCTGAAGTTAGTAAAGATGGAAGTAAAATGAAGTGCAAACCCTCGGTGCAGAACCACGTTCCTGCAGCACCTCAAGAAGCAAAAATAGTAGCTACTTCACCCACAATTGTAAAAACAAAATGAGGATAGCTAGACATAAAAAGTGGTGTATAAATGATATGCCAACAAAAATAAAACTAGTAGTAGATATCCGATGGCAGTGTGCTTGTCGAAGAGCCGCTAGGCCTAAGTAGTGAGTGGGAGTCTCCAAGCTCTACTGCATCCGCATGCGCATAGTATCACAAAATGCATGCGCTTGTCAGTCATGAAAAAGGAACAAAATGGCGGACATGGCCGCGATAAACAAAACACGTTCTCACTTTTTAGGTAAGCAGTTTTATGAATCTATGCAGTTAGTCACAAGTGTGCGGGGATGGCCAGCTATTAAACGCCGTCAGGTCGGCTTAAACATTTTCCATATTCATTCACTGAAGGGATCTCAGTAGTCACAGGATCAGTACGAGACTGGGTGTAGAGAAGAGGTTGGTAACCATAAATACGAGTTAAGAACTGGATGCAGACACTGCGTTCATCCCAAAAGTTCTTTTTTTTGGATATGTTTGCTTTGCATCCGGCACAGTGGAAATCAAAATTTGAAGGAACCTGCAAATTAAAAGACAGATATCAAAATGAAGGGTTATTAAAACATGAAAAAAATGAAAAAGCACTGAAGTGCAAGCCCTCAGCGAACTGCGCATGCACGATGCCACTAATTGATGGGCTGGGCTATTAATTTGTAGTCTCCCGCTAGTAGCTGTCGGAGAGCCTGTTCTGACTGGATGGACGTGTAGATCTTGACATTAGTTTCAACGGTATCACAACGTGCACACCTATCTACATCAAGGTCGAGGCAGCAGATAAGCTGTTGCTGGGGGAGGGTGTGTGTTGCCAGCAAAAAATAATCACGCATCAGATTGGCGGAAAGAATTCGCTAGTTTGATTGGCGGAAAGTCTCCAGCAGCCGACCAAAAGGATCTTAAATTCCTGAGGAGAGTAAGGACTATCAGAACTTGCAAAATACAAGAGGACAAGTGAAGTGTCATCAAAGTGTACTGAGTTGGTCTGGTACTCAAGCACCACCGCCGACTGACGCCATGCCAGAAAGGGAGAAGGCGGGACAGCAAACTGGACAACCCTCCAACACGGTACAAGACTCTCCAGACGTTGAACACCTACGGCTCAGACAGACCGGGACCAGACTGTTTAGAGTTCTACGTCCCCAACGACTGTCTCCTGTGAAACTGAGACCCCTTGAGACGATGCAATTGTACCGGTAGTCCATGTCAGGTTGGTTACGTCTGTACGAGTACACCTCCTTATCAGTCCGTGCAGGCCCAAGTTGCCCCTGAAGCTGACTACTCTCAACCGAGGCCGCTCCTTCTCCAATACCGACAGGATGTGGAAGAGTCTCTTTGCATCCGTGCTGAGGATGTCTTACCATTTGTGACTTACACTGACACAAGTGACCCCATTATAATGTATTGCCTGGGGCTATTTGTTGTTAACGCTCGGCGCGCATGCGCAGCGTGCACACGTCATGTCAGGAGCATGCGCATACGCGACGCGGTTGCATAGATATAGGATCCGACTGCCGGGCAAGCTTGAGTGTCTCTCCTCTGTCACTTTTGATCTCTGTTCTCTTTGTTCCCAATGGATAAGAAGCTGCCAAAGGTATGTCTGCAATGTAGCGTAACAGTTCACATGAGACGAGCAGTTTGTGGATGCGGCCATGACTTCCATCTGAACGCTAAAAGGCAGTATGTTGCAAGCATTGAAACACAGAAGAGCAGATAGATTGAATAAAGCAAATGTGAGAATCTCTGAAACACCTGAGCAATTGCTGTAACTGCTAAGCCCTCTGATGCAACTAGCCTGTGTTACGGGGAGACTCTACTGGCCCCGTCGACGACACATGGCCCAGCATACAACAACGCTACAACGGGCGCGTTTTGCGCCAAGGGTTTGCACTTTAGTGCATTTTCATTGTTTACAAACAAAAAAGTATGACTATGAGCATCTGGAGAGGGCGAAGCCCCCGAAGGGGGCGTGGCAGCGGGCGTTTGACCTCGTAGTCTCCTGGATTGGCGCAGAGCTCTCTGAGGCAGGGGCTCAGGAGTAGCCATGCGCAACGGTTGTACACCAGTCGGTTGATAAAAATAATACTTCCCTAGTACTTTCGGTGACGGATGACCTTCTTCAGGATTCTCGAGTGGGCGTAAGAATTCTACAGCTGCATAATTCAAACTGACAATATAAGTGCAGCTATGACTCATTTTCCACTTCCTAAGCATGAGACACACAGGTTTTTCACTCAGTTTCCGTGAAAGACAATCTAGATAATGATTATCAGTGGCTTGCACAATGAGATACTTTGTACCTGTGGTAGTTAACCCTCGGCGCGCATGCGCAGCGAGGGTTAACTGTAGTCGTTCTGTGTGTCTGTCTGTCTGTGTGTCTACGACTATTCTCGCACTGCAGGAAACAAGGCGGCTTATGAGCGATACCAACAGCTTTAGCGGTACAGGGGCTAGAAAAAAAAATGCCGATTTTGCTGAAACGACTGCGTTCGAGAGCGACAAACTGGCACGGCCGCGGACAGCGTTGCATGGCCCAACCCGTCAATAAGCGGTGCGCATGCGTGTATTGGACGCAGTATGCTGGCTCACCTCTACGTGATCCGCTTGCTCCGTGTACCTTGGAGGCACATGAAGCCACAATGAAGGGTGTGTATCGACTCCCGCATGCTATCTACTACCGGCCGTAGCTAGCCCGTGTTACACTCCGCGAGCTACTAGTGGGAGGCCACGCCAATAGCCCAGCCCGGCGCCCATCCATTAGCCGTATCGCGCATGCGCAGTTCGCCGAGGGTTTGCACTTAAGTGTATATAGTAACAAAAATATCAGCCGGTACATGTCGTATATATACTTACACAAACAAAAAAACGTTTGCACAGACCTTCATGGGTGGTTTTCTGGAGAGATGTGCAGCAAGGAAGTTCATGGCAATGTCTTCACAGTCCATGATGTTGTCCACCCTCTCCCTCACTTCTTTTGGCATCAAGTAGGAGTACAGGTACATATAGGTCTAGGAGGCAAACAAAACTAGTTTCTTAGTGACTCTGTGTTAGTGGCAGAGTCATTGCATGGGTGGTATTTGATACCACTGTATATAGGTAATTAACCCTCGGTGCGCATGCTCAGCGAGGGTCATAGTACTTGGTTTGTCATTCCGTCTGTCTGCTGTCAGTCTGTCTCTCTGTTACCTCATTTTCTGCCGCTACGCGCAACAAAACAGCCAAAAAGCGCTAGTAACGGGTTCAGTGTCACACTGACTTTATTTTTAAGCGGAAAATGTGTCATAGAACAACCAGCAGGGACTAAAGGAGACTAGTATATCTCTGCTTAGCTTTCTGGAGCTCTTGGTGCATCCTCATGCACTTTGTGACGTGTGTTAAAATAGCAATTTTGGTAAAATGCTAGTGAACAAGCCAATTCTAATTAGCACAGGCTTAGCTTGACCGGGTTCGCTTACTGTGTGTATATATATACCTTCAAGTCACAAGAAGTCACAACGGAGGGCGTGTATCGACTAACGCATGCTATCGACTGGCTGTCAGATTCTCCGCGAGCTAGCTACCAGTGGGAGACTACAAGTAAACACATACTAATAGTCTCGCCCATCAATTAGCAGTACTGCGTATGCGCAGTTCGCCGAGGGTTTGCACTTTAGTGCTTTTCATTAATATTATAGATAATTTTTACTGAACATTATCTGCAAAGGCCTATTATTCTATATTGCCACCAAACACCAAAGGAGAAAGTATTCTAAATTTTCAGTCCACATTTGAAGAGCTCCGTATACTTACAATAAACCAGTTAAAGTACCCGTATTCGCTCGTGCATTCCTGAAAATATTGTACGAGGAATGCGTTTCGAGCCTAATAAGGCACGAAGCGTACAGGTAATTTAAAAATCATTTCTTTAAAATGAAGGGGGATGTAGGGATGGCATAAATTATGAAAAAGGATGCCAACAAGAAGATGCTTCAGCCGACAACAAAAATCATACATCCATCCCTACATCTTTGTTTCTTTTGCTCTGTATAAAAAAAATGTGTGGTTACTTGTGATAAAGTATGTAAGATGCATTATTCACAATCAGAGAGTCGGTAGACTCTCTATATAGGGATGACACGGGTGAAATCTCACGTGATCCGCGTACAAAACGACTAAAAACTCGGTGAGAATCACTCCCTAGGCCTTCAAAACATACTAGCAATAGTCTACGGGCCCATATCTACCTATACATGTCCCCCAAGACTTCATACGCACCTTCAGTCGTCCACGCGAGAATTCGCTCATACGCGATTTCACGATTTTCGTGTCATCATCATCATCATCATCATCATCATATTCTTCATCTTCTTCTTCAGACCCGCTAGCTCCTTATCGGAAGCACTTGAAGCGTTGATTTTTTCACAGAACGTTTTAGAATTTTGCCGGAGGTGTGCACGCATATCAAGCGATCGTTTGTTTCTTGCCGCAAGTCACTACGGTAGATCGTTGAGTTCTTCCTCGGTAGTCACTGAACAACGCCATTTGCTGCTAACTCAGCATCAGTGAGCCGCATGCGCCGAGGAGGGCGTTTCCAATGCGGCGCGCGCGCATTTTGCCTGGTCCACGAACGAGACTAAGCCAAGACTGGATGCCTTCAGAGAAAACTACTCTCATCCTCCAGTGCCTTCTGTAAGTCAGTGTACACTTTGTAAGTCGCTAGCTTGCGTTTTGCTGTTGATTTGCACGAGGAGCAACTTGGCCATGTGCCTTGCCAGGCGCCTTCATTCTTAGTCCCCCAGGTTATAGCTATCATTGTAGTCTGATTTCTGAAGCCTGCCCAATGAAACGACCACCATAATATGTGCCACAACCTAATCGCGTCCTTGTTGGAGACACTACGCATTACACCCTGTTTCAAGTAAGAGCAGTCCATTAGCTTCTGCTTTCAACAGTTATCTTAACAACATACCCATGAACATCAGAGTGACAGTGTTGTCATAAGCCATTAAAAATAGTGGAAACAAGTGGAAAAATCATTTCTTCAAAATGAAAGGGGGATATAGGGATGGCCTGAAGCACCAAAAAGGAAGAAACAAGGGGTCATTACACACCTAATATGCACAAAGCCACATGACACCATCCCTATATCTTTGTTTTATTGTTCATAAGCAAAGTTTAATATGAGACAAAGATATAGGGATGGTGTCATGTGGCTTTGTGCATATTAGGTGTGTAATGACCCCTTGTTTCTTCCTTTTTGGTGCTTCAGGCCATCCCTATATCCCCCTTTCATTTTGAAGAAATGATTTTTCCACTTGTTCCCCTTATTTTTCTGCGCATACTCAGCCCCACCCTTTTCGGGCTGCAGAGCGAGGGGGAGGGGCTTCTGCGGTGCACACGCCCGCGCGCTACAGGCTGCGCTCGCGGGCTCCCGGTCCCACCCGGATCCCGGCCCTACTGGCCTGCCGGTCGGGTGACGTGCGTACACTTGCGCGCGCCTCTCGCGCGTAGCGGGCGCATGCGCAACTGAGACATATAAGTCCAACATGAAAAGGATATTATAGAAGGCTAGGAGTAGGGTTTTACAATAGCAATGTCAGCAGTGGTGATAAGGGCACAGGATGTGTAAAGTCAGCATGATGATAAGGGCTGGGGAAAACACTTCAGAACCCCACCTGCTAAGGCCCCAGATAATCTGAGTACAGCGATCTCCTTCCTCTGACAGGTCACCCTCCTCAATTATTCCTGGCTATGGTTGAGACACCAGTGCCCCTTAGACAGAAGATCACAGCCTTAAAGACCTGCAGCGGTAGAAAGCTTCCCAGGAGAAAACCAGATAATATGTAGTTGTAAGAAAAGAGGAGCCTATAAATAGTAACCACCTTGTTCAGAATACTATGTGAAGGTGCATGTAGGAAGGGTGCTGATATACTGCATACAATAGTTATGTGCACTGATGTTTAGGTGAGTAGTGTGTAGCTTCAATGTAGTAGTACCCCAACAGGCATAGCTACTGACTGTAGAGTGCACTCCTCAAGGGAGGAGGATAATATTCTGTCAGAGCTAAGACCAGTCTCCTGAGGGATTACTCACTACTATTGGCATACAACACAATACTGTCAGTGTACAGAGAACACAGACATTCACCTGTAACAGTGCTACTTCAATTACTTTGTGATGCAGTTACAGTCCCCTAATACACCTTCCGGCTAGTTAATAAAGACAGTGCAGTTCAGCTACACTTTGAAATGAGTCAGCTCCATGAAGTCTGAGACTTTAGGAGGGTGGTTAGAACATGAAATGGGGAAGCCACCTCAATAAATTGCAGGGACCTACCCTCTTCTTCCCCAACATGTTCAGAAGTCATGTACAGGACATGTAAATGCACTTTCTACAGTGGTGAAATGGGGAAGCCACCACAGGGACCCACCCTCTCCTTCCCCAACCTGCTCAGAGAGCCCATGTATAGTCTATATGAGCACATGTGGCTTCTTTAACTCTTCCTTATAGAACCAGCAACATTGAAGTGGTTTCCTGTGTGCAATAGATACATAGACCTCTGGTGAATGTCATCCATCAGTTGTCTGTCGACATCATGAGGAGAATACCGCTGCCACTGCTCATGCTGCTGGCTGTATGAGAAGACAGGGGTCTGGAGCAGGTGTGCCAAAGACAGCATCTCAATGTCAGTTCCCCAGGTGCCATCTTGGTCCATACCTGTGGAAGCTATATAACTTTGAATACTGTCATAGCCTACGAGATGGTGGCCTAGGAAACATTGGGCATTATTTGTCATGTGGTCAAGGGTAGCAGATAGCATGTCGTACACCAATATGCTGATCTGCAGATCTTGTCGGAATGTAAGAAAATGCTCGAAAGAGGCAGTTACCATCTCCCTGTACACGTCTCACACTACACATGTCCGGACGTGTGAGGGGGACAGCGGGTCCTCCTGGTCTTACTGTGTTTGTGTACAATATTGGAGGCCAAGCTCTTAATTGGCATGCACTTTGCTGCCACTGTATATCTACGGAGTGGAAATTGAAAGGAGTAGCAGCAGGTGTTTCTGGCAGATGAGGGATTCACCTTGACCTTTTTTACACTTGGGGAAACAGTTTTGTCTACACCAGTGAGCTTCCTCTTTCTTCTAGAGATGTGTGGTATATCATACAGAGGAAGATCAGATCTATGGGTTTTTCTGAGGCGTTTACTACTTCCCCCAGGAACTCACACTAACACTGATGGACTGGGGATCAAAGGCTGTTAGGAACAGACCATCTAGTGACCTAACCCTGGATAGCGCCATTCCATCGCTGAATACTTCTTCAGACAGGTCAACTATGGCCGACAGACCCTGAAACTTGTGGATGGTAATTGCACAGGCTAAAATGAGAGGGAATTGTCTACGATAGCTACACATAGAAATTCTTCATCACCATGAACCTGCTTCTGACCTTATCAATCTTACATGGAGCAGGTACATTATCAAACTGCACTGTCACATGCTGGCTGCTATTGAAAGCACTGTACCATAGCACCATTGACCACCCAGCCTTGGTGTCAATGTTGCGACGTAGCATGACTCGTGCACGCGACTGCAAGAGACAGTTTTGCTTCCAACCCAGCTGTCATGTTGCAGTCAGACGTTCAGTTTATCTAAATGCTCAATGACCTTCTTGGTCATCTTCTATTGCCTGCTGTGTCGTCAATCTCATCAGTACATAAATGTCATGCACTTCGGAGCATTCTTGCGGAGCATTTGTGCATTTTAGGTCATCACACGTTTCCTCTTGGAATAAGCAAACATGTGCCTTGTTAGACTGCTGTAGCTCAGAAACTTGTCTGAGACAGACACCTGTATGACCCTCTGTTTCACATACTCACGTTTTCCTTGGTTGGACACCACGTCTCACACAGTCCACCATGGAGGAAAACTGTGGATCATTTTTCTGCCGTTCATTGATAGTCACTCATCATACGTAACACAATCTCTCCAAATATTGATGGCAGCTGCACACCCTAGTTGTGGACAGATTGATTAGTGGCAACCTTCTCAAAAACAGGACTCCCATGGACAGGTGGGAGTTGGAGGAGGTCACCTACAAACAGCATGTTCCGAGACCCAAACCACTCACTGCTACCAAACAAAACACTCCTCTAGCCTCATGTGTACAAAAGCCAGGTTGATACT